ACGTAATCATCATCAGTGGCAATGGCGCTGTGGTGTCTGCTTTAAGGCTTTCTCGCAAAGACGCTACCTGGAACGCCACTGTCCTGAAGCCTGTCGCAAGTATCGTATATCCCAGAAGAAGGAGATCGTTTGTCCATGAATGTATATTGGAAAGGACGCGACCAAGAATACCGGCGGTTGTTAAAGGCTGTGGTCCATTTATGCTCGTTTTCATCAATGATTAATTTTAATCTTTATTCAACTTATTCTTCATTTTTTTCTAATTCTTAGAGAACTAGAAGAAGATGAAGGATTAGTTGAATTGAGATAAAATTTAATTTACATTGAAATAAGCATTAGTTTACAAATGTTCGAAGCATTTGATTAATTATCAGAAAAAAGAATTTTACTAATTAAAGTGGTTCTTTAGTAAATCAAGTTATCATAGAAATGTTTAATTTTTTTATTTAATGAAGTTAAAATACTGAAATTGATGTGTGCAAAATTCTACGGTAATTTAACGATAAAATAAAAGAGAAAAGATGTTGAAAATGTAATCTTTCACGTATAACTTAGTAATAAGGCTTGCAGACACTTCTTTGATTAACTGCATACAAATCTTATCATAGACTTTACTAAAAAACAAGATTGTAATAGTTTAAAAAATTATGATTTTAATGGTCACAAAAAAGTAATAGATCAATGGTCATTCCAGAAAGATATTTACGTGCATAAACTTGCATATGAATTTAATCTCGAAAAGTAAATATAATCTTATCTTGTTTTCGTTCGATGAAGATGCTCTTAATTTACTATCGTTTCCATACTATGTTTCATACTTTTTAAGATATGCATATAGTTTTAATATATATTTTATCCAAATTATGCAGACATTTGTAATTTTAAGACCCTGGCGAGGCATCCCAAATTTTCGACACTTTACTAAAGAATCACTTTAAATAATCAAAGAATATTTCAAAATATTTGTAATTGAGATCAATAAAAGGAAGGAAAGAAGTACTTCGTAACATTTGTAGATTGCATGCATAGATCGCAGCCAAAGTTTCAACGATATGTGTTGCGTACCAATGTATTATGTTATAATGTATATGCCATTTTTGACGCGAGCATACGTTATATAATTAAGCTTTGCCATGCTTTACGTTCCTCAACAAAATTTTGGTTTTTTTTTAATGCTTTTAAAAGATAATTTTATGCGCTAATTATTTTATTAACATGATAATTCAGGTTCAAATTGACTAGTGATAGACGAAAAATTTGTACTCAAGCTATAATAATTGCATGAAGTTATACTTTAATTTATGCGACATTCAATGCGACTTGAATCGTTTCTGAGAAAAATGTTAATGTTCGATTTTATATTTAGGATGTCAAACAGCTATTTCATTGCTTATAAAATCTTTAGATTATCTGAAATTAGATTTAAAATAATCTTACATTTAAATTGTTTAATTATTTTAAATCTTATTTAAATTTTATATACATTTAAATATAAAATTTAATTATTAATTTGATAAATATAAATATTATATTATTTTAAACATAAATAAATATAAAGATTATATTATTTTAAATCTAATTTTTTATAATTTCTTATAATTATAATTTATTTCTTATAATTATAAGATTTGGCTAATAAAATAATCGTATATATATCTTTGCATATATCTCTTTTTAAATATTGGGTCATCTAAAAAGTATCGGTACTTTGTCACTAGATATATGACTATCAACACACATCTAATGACAAAAAACCGCGGATACTTTTTAGATGATCCAATATAAGATCTTAATTATATAAAAAATATAATCTCGAGATTTGCTTTGGACTGGATGAAATCTCAATCCTCCGCCAGCAATGTTCGAATTTAAAAAGCATTTTTTGAACAGCTATCTCATCGGAGTTGCTGTCGTGGGCTGTGTAAACATGCAAGGATAAAACGACGCAATAGCGTTGACAGTGCAACTTGAGATGTAAGCAGTCCGAGAGCGAAAGCATCCATAATGATTGCGTTCAGTAGAAAAAGTAGCTTTGGAACTATTATAAAATTCTTTGATGTGATTGGCTCTATCCTTAGTTCCTTACTGGATCTAAATGTATAAATCAGTCATATAGAATGAGTGTTCGGTCTGTAACTTTATCGCCTGTTTTGCTGATTTTAAATGTAATTTATATGTAACAAATATGATCTAGTTTCACTTCGAGCACTTGATATTAACTAGTAATTTTATTAACTTTCTATTAAATTGTCTTTAAATTAAATTAAATTAAATTTCAACAATGTATTTAAAGAATAATGTATTAAATTGGTATAGTATGCATCAAAATTTAATTATAAATACACATATCATGTATATATATATATATATATATATATATTTACAAATATCATCGAAATTAAGATAATTTAATAGAAAGTTACTATGGTAGATATCGTATCACAAGTGCACGATGTAAACTAGGCTAATTATTTTTTTCTTCTTTTTTGACAGAGTCAAAATCTTTTTCCAAGATTAAATAAGTATACTGCATTAATATGTGAAGTGGAATTATATCAAGAATGAAAACAATTGTTTCAATTTAGATCTTTATCATTTCTTAATCCAATAATCCAATACGGTATCAATACCGTAATAAAATTTATTTGATATAAAAACTTTTTAATCTGTACTTACGAAATTGTGATCTACAGACTATAAATAATTTATATGAACGCAAACAATGTGGAGTTCTTAAAATTAGACTTACGTCTGTTTATACCAATGTAGTTTAATTTTAATTTCAATTCGACAATATAACTCTTCATCTTTTTCTAATTCTAAAAATTATAAAAAGATGAAGAGTAATTAGTTGAACTGAGATTAAAGTTAATCTACATTGATATAGAAATGAAAATTAGACATTTAGTTAAAACGCTGTTATTTTGTGGAAATTTATGTACTTATATATGTGCGCGAGATATTGCTATAATATACAATATAAAGATACGTCGTATTGAACCGTCAGAAGCGAGAAATGACACGTTAATTTTTGTTACGTGCCATTTGTAAATATTCAAAGACAATTTGAATGAAACAAAATAATGAGATTACTTTAAAACATTTGTAAAAACGGAAACACATTATGATTATCTCCCTTGACAATCAGTAAATAATCGTAAAAAAAGTGATAAAAGACACGTGTAAGTTCAAATAGATTATGCATACGCATTGAAAAGCATTTCATGTGCCTTTTATAACTTTATGATTATTTACTGACTGTCAGGAGGGATAAGGATAGCTTTCATCCATTTTTTAGCGAAATTATTTAAAAACGATCTTATCATTTCGTTTTATCTAAATTGTCTTTATTTATAAATGACACGTAATAAATTAACGTGTCCTTTCTCGTGTCGCTTCTGACGCGTAACAATTCAATATGGCTGTAACTATAACTCAGAATTAGTGTAGTCTTAATAAGAGTTAGGACAATGTAGTCGCAACTTTTGATTGATTGCCAGAATCCGCCATATATAATAGTTAACCGCTAGTTTCAAATGAATTGCAATAGTCAACACAACCGTGAATTACAAGCAAATTGCAAAAAATCATGTATTTGATGTTATCCTTCATATTTCCGTCATTATCTGACGCTGGCAGTATAACATTTATACGATATTTGTTAAAGAATGTTACTTCTAACGATACATGCTCATTTAATTGAACCACCGACAAAATATTATCAAAGACCATCAACTCTGGACATATTTTCGGTGGTATAAAAAGGGCCCGAAGGTAATTGAAGAATTGACATTATCGATAATTGATATAAATTTACCATTATCAACATAAATATTTGACTAATACATTATTAAATTCATAATTTTTTATTACATAAATGCTCCTAAATAAATATGCATACTTGTAAAGCTGTAGTATCCTATATATTGTCGAAAAAAATTACAATTTTTTCTCTGCAGTTACTATCTTTGTTGATAATCAAACTTTGACGATAACACTGAAATCAAAATTTTAAAGAAAAATCAAGTATTATTGAGTTCTAAATGCATAAATACATCTACTAAATTAATAAATCATAAAATTAATGCAATATTATCAGTTTTTAATTCTTTATTATTTCAATATTCACAATTCGACGCGAATTCTCATAAGGATTGGTCTTTAATAATATCTCGTCAGTGATTGAACTCAGCTATACGTTTGACGTTTCTATAGTCTCTGCAATATTTGGCTATTAATGGCGACGGTTTGTCTTAATTCTTATTATAGGAACATTCAGGAACCTTAACTGTTAGGGCCATTCCACATTTCTGTGATAAAGACAAACGTAAAATGCGATTGGATGATTTTCTTTATGCATATGTTATGCGACTATGCAAGTTTGTATGGAATGGCCTTTACGTTTAAATATAAGACCAGTTATATAACCGGTTTATTGGTTTAATGGAATATTTAATTTATTTAAAACTAAACTTAAAAGACGATTTTGAAGATATAAGATTGGACTATGAATTGCACTTTTGATTTCGCCAGCAACACGTCTTCCCTTCCATACCTGGCACACGGAGATTGGTCAATTTCCGGCATACAATTCGAACTACGTGATTCGTGTTACAAGACGTTGCCGGGTCTGTTCTCTATACCGCAAAAGCTTAAACACAATAGGCACAGGCAACAATGAATAACGAGCCATCTAATTAGAGCTCTGGTGTGTAAATTCGATATTATATTCCAGAGCTCTGATTGGACAGTTTATTACTCTCTGTGCCTATTGTATTTAAGCCTTATTACGTTATATTCGCCGTTTTATCTGAAATCAAAACACAGGACATATATACGATTGAAGATGGATTGAAAAAGGGAAAAGACAGAAGATACGAGGAATTCAGCTGTAAAGAACAAATCTGTTGGTATGTTTTGTTCTCCGCAATCGATCGCAAGTTTCTCATGAGAACCGTCTTAAAACAACGCCTGGCGGACGATATTCCATAGTCGTTACGTTATCTTGTTTCTGTTATTCTTTCATGGTACGGATCGTGTACACCGAACAAGCAATAATCGTCGCTCGCATTCGACGCAGTGCATCAGTCGGGATTTCGAGATACTGAAAGCGGAACGCAAATCACAAGTCGCAGAGACAGACCGAAAGACTGATAGTCGGGACCGCGTGTTATACACGAGAACGCTTTTTTTCCGAAGCGTAACGAGTAAAGAAGCGATAGAGGTAGAGCGAGAGGGAGAGCGAGAGAGTGTGAGAGAGTGTGAGTGTGAGAGAGAGAGAGGGCGAGAGAGAGAGAGAGAGCGTGAGTGTGTGAGGAGAGCGAAGCGACAGCGCGGCATTGCACCGTAGAGGAAAACGGTGCTCCGACGCGGTCACTGGCGCTGCGAGAAGTCGGCGAAATCATTGACATTGGGGAACGGCCATTTTGGCGTGTTGTTTCTCACCGATCGAGTGCTCGAGGCGTGCATACATACACACGGAATCGACGTCCATTCGTTTTCAAGGTAAGTGAGGAACACGCGGACGAAGGTGCGCGTCCACTCGCGACTCCCGCATTCCATCGTTCCCGTCGACCCGGCGTCTCCTCGCGCTAATATCAATTGATTTCGGCGCCGGGCCTTAACGATATTTGCCCCGAGGGCCTTTCCGTTGCCTCTCGAGAAACTTGCCAGCGTGAAACGAGATGTTCCAGTCGCGATCTGACCTATAAAAAAAAAAAGAGAAAAAAAAGAAACCCCCTTAGAGCGATTAGCGTTCGTTGAAACCACGCGGGAACAGAGCGAGCTGACCACGGTATATTTAACGCGCAAATCGCATTCACGAGTCTGACCTTATCGACGGTTCGAACGGTTGCGCGTTTGAAATTCCCCCGAATTCGACGAGCGGCGTATCTGTTACCGTTAATTAAGAGCAAACTCGCGATTAAACGAGCAGCGATACCTTCTGTTGTCGTTTCTCTTTGAATTTCTGTACCTTCAAAGATTAAGTTTCATCATTCGGAGATATAACGAGATAAATTTTAATATCGAGATTGTTCCTTTGTTTCTTCGTCGCGTACGAGTAAGACTTTGAATACATTCCGCACACAATACGTTTCAACCATATGAATCTTGAAGCACTGAAAGCCTCTCCTTTTTAACATATATTATTTATTGCACGATTAAAATGAAAGTTTACTTGAATCTATAATCTTTTTGTATACTTTAAAATTAGCTTATATAATTCTTTCTTTCTATGACCTGGTTGCACCAATGTTACTTTGACTGTTGACTTTAAGCAAGACTTAAATCTCTCTGTCTCGTTTTAAAGTGAAAGAAAGACGGAGAGAGTTTTAAGCCTTGCTTAAAATCAAAGTAATGTTGATGCAATTGGGCCTAAGGGGATTAAAATAGATTAATATATTATATAAACAGCTATGCAATTTTCATTTAATTGTTTAATAAATTTTGTGCTAATTAGAAGTTACAAATGAAAGAGAAATCAAATTTTTTGTAGCACAGTTAACTGTTTCATCTACAAAGTATTTATACTTGTGCCTTCTATATCCAAACACACAAAAACACTTGGCATATTTGAATGTATTCATAACGAACACAGTATCTAAAGACATACAGTCACTGTAGGTCAATTTTGTTTGGTTTTGTTCCCCTTCTGACTTTCTATTCAGACGTTATTACAAATTTTGATACATACTTTTGAATATGTTTATAAGATCAGAGCTGTTATGGTATAATTGTTAATATAATTAATATTATTTATAAGGCGTGCAATGCCTTATCAATATAAATATTTTATAACGGAAAAATACGAATTGACAGAAAAGCATAATAAATGAATGTATGTGTGGCATTAAATTTTACAAAAATTGCACAAAGAAATTATTGTGATAATTTTAAGTAGTGTACATGTATATATATGTATATATATATGTATATATGTGTACAGATAATGATGTTTTCTCTCTTCTTTTTTTTTGTCAGGAAAAGATAGTAGACATACTACAATATTTCCAAAATGATGACCGAAACGCATATGAACTCTAATCATATGTTAAACTCTGGTTTATCTAACAAATCAGAGATAGATAAAATGGATGATGTAGGTTGGAAAGCGAAATTAAAGATTCCACCAAAGGATAAAAGAATTAAAACAAGTGTGAGTTGATACAAAAAAGTTGATATAAAGGTTGATAAATTGAATGAAAATTACTAAGTAAGAAGAAATTAATAAATTTTTATATTTTTAAATTTGAATTATTCTCAATTTATTTCAAACGATAAAACAATTAAAATAAGTATCAGTTGATAAAAAAAGAGAAAAGTTGATAAATTAATAAATTACTAAATAAGGAAAAATTAATAAATTTTTATGTTCAAATCTGGATTATCTCTTAATTTATTAAAAAATTTTTTTTTAGATAAAAAATGAATATTTGAAGAATATAAAAACAAAGAGCTACGAGTCTAAGATTAATCGTTGTAAAATAAAAATTTTTTAAATCGTTAATAAATAAACATGTCATCTAGTTAAAATGATAATGATCCAACAGGGATCGAAATGTTTGTTTTGTTTTGTTTGTTACCGGCAAATTAAAGTTTATATTTTAACTAGATGACATGTTTATTAACGGTTTAAAAAATTTTTATTTTATAACGATTAATCTTAGGCTCGTAGTCCTTTGTCTTTGTTTTTTAAATTTATTGAGCCTTATTACTGTTATAGTTGAATTTTTGAAATTAATTAATTTTACTATTATCTCTGTAGATAGAAATTCTTGAAAGCATTCAAGTTTTTTAAATTGAAATTTACTTTTGAAATATACATTACAGGATGTTACCGACACACGTGGTAACGAATTTGAAGAATTTTGCCTAAAACGTGAATTATTGATGGGAATTTTTGAAAAGGGATGGGAGAAGCCATCACCGATCCAAGAAGCTAGTATTCCCATTGCACTTTCTGGTAAGGACATCTTGGCACGTGCGAAAAATGGAACTGGTAAAACTGGAGCATATTCAATTCCAGTGCTGGAACAGGTACGATAAATCGGCGAAAGAGAAGTATGATAAAGATGTTTACTTGAAAAAAAATTTGTTTTGAATGTTGTATGCTTAATGTCATACATTGCTGTTTTAGGTTGACCCAAGGAAAGACGTAATCCAAGCACTGGTAATTGTGCCTACAAGAGAATTAGCACTACAAACATCACAGATTTGTATTGAGCTCGCAAAACACATGGATATAAAAGTTATGGTTACTACTGGAGGAACCAACTTACGAGACGACATTATGAGGATTTATCAAAAAGGTAAGATATCTACAGTAAAGTGTAAATAATTTATCAATAATCTGCATTAAATTAATTTACCGATGTATAACTCGCGTAATTTACACTTTCAGTGCAAGTGATAATCGCAACGCCAGGAAGGATCCTTGATCTAATGGAAAAGAATGTAGCAAATATGGAACATTGTAAAATTCTAGTTTTGGACGAAGCAGACAAACTGCTGTCACAAGACTTTAAAGGAATGTTGGATCATGTAATATCGAGGTATGTCTGTACAAAAATACATTTTATTTTACACAGAATTTCTTTATTTAACCATACACTCCTTTTATGGTAGATGGATATCTATGACAGGGGGGTTGCCACAAAACTGGAAATCAGGGAAATATCAGGGAAATTGAAAATGGTCAGAGAAATCAGGGAAAAGTCAGGGAATTTTGCAAAATCTGGAAAATTAAAATTCTTGGCTTTAAAGAAGTTTAATATGCGTACTTCATATCTACGCAGTTTTGGAATACTACCAACTTAACAATTAAATACAAGCAGTGTCAGCAACACTAATAGTAATTTACATAGATATGTTAAATTGCTTTCTCAACAAAATATTTGATTTCCAAATCGGGACAAAAATACAAAAGAATTCAAAATATTGAAATCATTAGGGAAAATTATGAAATTTTATTCTGGAAATTAGGGAAAAATTATGGAATTTTAGGATGAGACATTTGTGATAATCTTGTAAGAATATGCAGAAAAATATCTCAAATTTAATATTTTTAAGTATGAGAGACAATTAAAGTTGAAGCAATTATAACATGTTTATTTCATGCACTCATACTTGTAATGCTACATTTTATATTTAATTAAATTGCCTGAAATGTGAAATGTCTTATCGAATTGAGGTATGTTGCAACATATTCGCATTCTCTAGTGCGTCAAACTGACTAATCAAAGTGACTAACTTTAATTGGCTCTCGCATAAAGATTTACCAAAGTTTTACTATTTATTTCATTCGCAATTTTAATTTATGTTGTTACCATACTTTCCACTGGGTATTATTAAATGTAATAAATTTTGCTAATATAGAAATGTTTACTTACGTCATACGCGTAATAAAATACTATCAGTTATTGAAAATAACATTTATACTACTCACTGCTCTTTATTGGTATTACTTCCTGATATTTATTAGTTGTATTATTTTCCTTATAGATTACCACACGAACGTCAGATTCTGCTGTATTCAGCAACGTTTCCTTTAACTGTGAAACAATTTATGGAAAAACACTTAAGAGATCCATATGAGATTAATTTAATGGAAGAGTTGACTTTAAAAGGCGTAACACAATACTACGCTTTTGTACAGGAACGACAAAAAGTTCACTGCCTTAACACGCTATTCTCCAAGGTAATGTTAATAAACTGAATTTAATTTTAATTTGATGCATGTATTCAAAGTAAATGTATTATTAATTTATATATTTTATAGCTGCAAATAACGCAAAGCATAATCTTCTGTAATTCAACGCAACGTGTCGAATTGTTGGCTAAGAAAATAACAGATCTTGGATATTGCTGTTATTATATACACGCGAAAATGGCGCAGGCACACCGAAATCGCGTATTCCATGATTTCCGTGCAGGATTATGCCGAAATCTCGTAAGTTAATCAAAAGATGTCCACATTTTTACTTTGCAAAATCTTATTTACATTTTAACTATATACGTAATAATTACGTTATCTGTCAAGTGATATACATACTGAACAAATTATACTAGTGTATCTATATGTGATTCAACTGTTTATTAAAATTTTTATTAAATCTAAATTCTTTTTTTATAGGTGAGCAGTGATCTATTTACTCGTGGTATTGATGTTCAAGCTGTGAACGTCGTAATCAACTTTGACTTTCCGAAGATGGCAGAGACATATCTGCATCGAATCGGCCGATCTGGAAGATTTGGCCACTTAGGTATAGCAATTAACCTAATCACGTATGAAGATCGCTTCAATCTACATCGTATCGAACAAGAGCTTGGAACAGAAATTAAACCTATCCCAAAGGTGATAGACCCCAGTTTGTATGTGGCGAGACCAGAAGACAATAATAGTATGGAAGAGGGTAATGTGTCCAAGTAGTTTCGATGCACTGTGGTAAAACGAAGCTTTACACACGCTCAAAGAGTTTAAAGTGTGTGAAAGTGTGTCAAAAAGTGAGTTCACTTGTAAATAAAGCGTACTATGTATGAGTAATAATGAGCTGAGTGATTGAAGTGTCGCGTAAATGTCGATGCGAATCTTTGTACATAAATACATTTAAATGTACATAAGCTAAAACAAATCAGAGTCAAGCCATTATCAAGATGCACAATATGTAAACAGATATGTGAATAACATAATAATCAATCATTGCATTTTATCATAACTGTAAATATTACATGCGAGGACATACAATATCGTTTTAATAGAGGATTTTTATACAACGGCTTCATTCTTCCAGTATTTTTTTTCTTCTGTTGTTCTTTAACGATGAAGAAAAAGGGCATATGATTTAGAAAATCTATCGGGCCAATCTCACCGAGTACAACATAACGATTCACGTGCTCATTACTTTTGTACTGTCATGCATATATATATAAATTGTCCTTGACATCAATAAGGTCGTGTATATATATAAATATATATAAATAAATTGCCCTTAGCGATTTATAAAATTTGGATATATTAAATATCAGTTGTAATATTTGATCATGGCTTGATTTTGCTATTTGTCAAGATTGTAATACAACTCTGAAATTCAAATCACTTGTCAACACTTAAACTGTCTCTTTTCTGTTTATTCAACAGCTAGTGAAATTTTCTTTTTCTTTTTTTTTTTAAATGCAATTTGATTTTCTTTTTACCATGTCGTGATTGAGAATCAGAGGTTGTACAATTGACTAGTTTTATATAATTATTTTTTATAAAGAACTGGCTGGTGGACTCTCCACAACAATAATAGAGATTCTATGGCTGATGCTGATAATAATATATGTCCAATCACAGCCTATATTTAATTATACAACAGTTTATCGGGGGCTAAAATTGAATTTAACAAAAATTGTGAAGGTTGCTAAAATTAATGGAAATGCGCGAAAGACGGAATACATGAATCGCAAGTGAATGCACATGAAGACGCAACTCACACTGGAATGTGAATGTAAGGTGAAGCATTATGAATGAATACTCTATCTGTCGTGAAAGATAAAATAACTGCCAAAGTTATTGTATTGATATCGACATAGAATCTCTAGAGATCTCCATAAAAATATGGATAAGCACGAAGAAGAGTAAAAGAGGTGCAGGAAATTAATGTTTCGTATGCATGACTATACTTAAAATTTAAGAATTCGAAAGCCACCAGCCAATATGACTTAGGTTTTTGGATGTGAAAAGTATGGAACAATCTGCGCTACTAAAATATTTCATATTTGAGAGGAAAGAATCCTCTTTGAATGGAATATTGGTGATACAGAAGCAGGTTTAAAATGTATTTAGGGCTGTAATATCAGAAACTGTGAGCTTATCACGGGAAAAACTGTAGATAATAGATAAACAGTAATGAGTTAACTGCTGACACAAAAAAAAGAAAATGAAATTGCTAACAATTGGACATTTAAACTGATTTGTATAGAATAGTGATCTGGACGAATGGTTGTTCATGCTCGCTGCCTTCAACCTTCGACCAATATACGTAATTTTTGTTTATAGCGACACCAAGTATATGGCTTAAGTTTGACGCAAGTTCAAAATACATTTTCGAGTTCAGATATATTCCGCGAGTCTCCATTTTCGTAGAGTACAATCGTAGCTCTGCTAGTTAAATGTCAAGAAATAGATTCGCATTTTTGTGAAATCTAATGTAAATGAATATATGCGTTATCATACTCACGAATTAGCTTATCATGTGCTTTGCACATTGTCTTGTGGTCTTGCAAGATAATTTATTTCGCATATACGACTCTACGATTCTGGAAAATTTATACATTCTTGATCGCAAATGCCATAAATCTAACTCGTCAATGTAATATGAAAAAAGAAGTCTTTAGGTAAACATCATTGCGCGATTATCGCTTTTGTTTACCACGGATTTATAAGTTGCAAAACAATCGTTTATCGAGGATTTATTGCAAAGCGAGTTTTTAGTTGCAAAATGATCGCAACCGGGTAATAAGTTGCAAAATAATGGCAATTGGACGATGAGTTGCAAAATAATCGCAATCGGGTAAAATTGCTAAATCACAACTGAATTATAAGTTGCAAAGTGATCGCATTTGCGACTTATTACCCGATTTGCAGACATGTATACGTGCATTCGTGATCTATGCGCGATTGAATGAAAAAGGGGTAAATTAATGTAATATAATGAATCACGCAAAGATTATTGCGTGAAACGGAAAGCAGTACTATAATTGAAATACGTCAAAATATGATGTACCAAACCGCGTCTATTTTATTTTAAATTTCTATTTGCTTCCTCGATTGTCTTTGATTCGGCAAAATTTTTCTAACAACGTATTTAGCTACCGTTATAACTATAGGGGCAGATAAATATCGAATAAGAAGTCAGTATTGATATTGCAACAACTTTGTTATCGGTAATGTCCATTAACGATTACAATCGGATAATCTACTCACAACACTGTCTTCTACTTAATGGAGATAACGAAAACAAAAATAATCTGCCAGATAATAATGGTGCCGTTGACCACATATAATATGAACAACCAGAGCAGACCGGAAGACCAGCAATTATATCTGCTACGATTTAATAATTTATTAAGTTCTTTTTTGTGTCACTGTTGCAAAGATACTGTAATGAATTAAATTAACGTGCGATCTTGTTGATCAAATGATCTGTCGCCCACTGCATATTAATTTGATCAATCGGAATCTCATCTGATTGCGTCATAGTCTAATATTACGGTCCCTCTTCATTTTTATTATCTACTTAATATATAAACAAAACGTAAATGGGTTCAATGTAATAACAGTCGTTTCGCCAAACAATTTAATCTGCGAAATGTTCCCATTTACAAACTACAAAAATTTGCTCTTATTCTATTAGCTTCTATTGTTTTGCTTATATGGCGATTCTTTGAAAATTTTTTTGGCAATATTACGTAGACTAAGAAGAAAATACTTAGTCTTACTGTGCTGTAATTGGAAACATCGATAGATCCATTGTATGGAGTCTATTTTGCGAAATGTATTTTATTCAACTTTTGAAAGAGTCAATTAGCTCGTACTAATACACAAGCATAAAGAATCTTTCATTTTTTTAAATAAGAATTTTACAAACTATTCTATATTATAATCAAAATTATTTCCTAATACTTCTTAATGATTTCATAATGATCGATGCACGATGTTTGTATATTTCAAAGACTTGTAAACAAAAAATCCATTTATTGATATTAAAATTCTATAAAATTGCGTGCTGTACTTGACTCTTTCTAAAGAATGATGTTTATGCGAGGTATATAAACTTAGAAAAAAGTGGGCTTAAAAAATCCAAAAAAAAAAAAGAACATTGATTAGCAATGTTATATGAACAGACTGAAGAACGTGGTAATTTTATAATCTATTCTCTCTTGCAGCCGTACTTTATACATATATTATCGTTCTTATATTCCAAATTACAGACGAGTATCCTTTTTGCGAAAAAAAATGCTGGAAAATAAGTTGATGCCTGTTTCGCAGCTGCAAGTTGCCAAAGTAAATATTTTTTACTTTGGTATTTTTTACCACGTCTTCATGTTTGATTCATGAAATATATCCAAGTGCGGTTTGCAACCAATCTTGAATATAACAAGGAGTGCCCTTGATATGAAAGTAAGCGAATGTAATTCGTACGACGTATAGAAATACGATTTCGGAAGTAAATGTGTTAACATCCGGGTAACGTGCGAGAATTGTGTAGGACTCTCCAATTCCATCCGGGGGAGGGTAAATTCTACTTCTCAATGTCTACGATTTAAATCGTAAGTGTGAAGGGGAACATCTTGAGAACGAGCTCTCTAACAGCATCTCGTAGATCTCGTACCTTCGCCTGAATTATTTCCATTGGTTAACCCAATGTGGCGAGCTGTGTGCAAGCACATTCCCAACAAACGAACCGAGAATCGATCGCATCGAAAGTTTAACATCTAAATGAACAATCCGCGTTCGAATAACATACGCAGCTCGATTAATAATATTGGAATTAGATCTCCAATATACGTGAAATATAAAAAAAAAAAAAAAGTATAATTCGTTTGAAATGTAAAACAGTATCAGTTTATCAACTATCCATGCTTACCGTTTTGTTAAAGAACTTATTATTATATACACTTGTTTATCAAATTGCGGAATCAATCATCCAAATGGCATACCTGATGAACGGCTACTATAATGATTAATGTGATACTATTTTGTTATTATTAATATTATTGCTACTATTATTAACGAGATATGAACCAAGATTTTTCGACAATGTGTAACGGACATCGATTTATTTTGTGACGTTGAAATCTGAGTTTCGGTTATTCGTAAATTATACAAGCAGCATAAGATTGCGAAATTTTTCTTACATATCTTTGCTGTGTTTAAATTTTATAATTGATACAATTAGGATTACATAATTAATGAAACAGGAAAGTGCGTCCCTAAAGAATATGATAAAATGATTTCGCGATATTATGCAACTTGCATATCATTTACAAATAACTCGCGACTCGTGCGTAATTGTGCGCAGATGAAATACTTTTCCTGTATTTCTGATTTTTATGTGCATTTGTCAAGACAATTATTCTCGTTAGGTGTTACCGTTTTTTTGAAAGCAATCCGTAAATGGTATAAAACAAAATTATTCAAAAAATTTTCTTGTTCTACGTAACGTTATCATTTTTCTTTCTCCAAATTGTAAAGATGGGTTTGCGCGTGACTATAAAACATTTTTTTTTTATTTGTCTTCGCGATTTTGTTAGCACAAACCCATTCTATAATGAGTCGTATGTCAATTTTGTTTCCTTGAAAGGACAGAACTGTCTCTTAATAAAAATTCTGTTTCAGTACACACGATACACGATTTTTTTTTTTACATTGTATAACCCGAGATACTTGATTGCGTCCCAAGCTTTTTTTCTCTTACGTAAAACGATCCCGTCTCATGTGGTCTTAAGATTATTAGATAAACAGGGCGAATTTTTTATGTAACTTGAATTTTCAAGAGTATGTCGGGAATCGAGAGTATGAAGTTTGAAATTTTTTAACTACTAAAGCATTTTTTACCCAGAATTTTAATTAAGCTGCTACTGCACTATTAAAAACATCGCCTTTGTTTAAATTGTATCAATATACCGTCATTTACAAATTAACATAAATGTATTATATATATATATATATATATACAATATTTTGCCACTTACGAAGATATTGTCGCGAAGTCTATGCATTATTTAGTCGTATTTCGAAACATCTGTGGACACTTATTGTTATAGTTCGCAATATATTTTGTAGGTATATCCGAGGATTATTGTAGCTAATGCACGTTTAAGCGGATTACGTCAAATGCGACGTTACATGGAGATATCGAAGTATCCTTATAATACGGCTCATATTAATTTATCGCTAGACGAAGTATGCATTTTCCTCTAATCACGTTTAATACTACTTAATATTTAACGTTCAATACGATTTATTGGATAAATCGGTATACAATTTATCGGATAAATGTGGTAAACAATTTTCATCCTAAGACAAGAATACTGTTGCTTTCGTTTCGATAATGATGTTACAATTGAAAAATTCAGTAAATTTATCATGAAATATCATAGCAAGATCATCGGTGACAGGAATATTTGTAATAACCTTAGCATGTCTAAAAATTTACGTCAACAAATCGAATGTAAACGACGAGAATTATTCGTAAAAATAGTAATTTTTTAAATTAATTTTAAAAAATTGAAAATGTAATGTACAGAAAATCATATATAGGATTCTCGATGTCGAACCGTCAGCAAAAGTAAAAGAGTACCATGAAAAGCATTCACTATCGAAAATGAAACACGATACTTCAATACCATGGGATAAGCATCCGTATTTCGATACTATTGCCGTTATCATAAGCCTCTCCAGCTCTCCATCCTCCGCGGCTCTTTCAAAAGAGAAGGAGGAGGAGGAGGAGGAGGAGAAGAAGGAGGATCTGTGGAGAGCAGAATCCGTGTGGAGAACAAACCGACATGGCTCGAAGAGTGGGCGGAGAAGAGGGCATAAGAATTATGCTGTCAGACCCTTGGCGCGATATAAACGCTAGGCCGCTATTGATTTTAAGTAGTTGCTTAAATAGCGTCGTTCGGCCGTGCCACCATGGCATCGTCAGATGCATCGCGCCCAAAGAGAAGACGCGTTATCGCCTCTCTCTTTCTTCCTTATCTTCGCAACGCCTGCAAATCCACCTTCAGTGAGAACACTCGACATCACACGTTCTATATTTTCACATTCTCTAACCATATTTATTTCTCCGCATCTCATTTTTATTGTTATTTCAATTTTATTTCAGTTTTATTTACAGAAAATCATTCATTGAATAATTCCCCAGATAGCGCATAATATTTATGAAATATTTGTAAGATTTATTTTGAACATTTTATAAATATTTTTGTGTGTTTTAAATTGCACAGATCATAAATATTTATTATAAATATTATAAAATCGTAAATATTGCGGTAAATGTTACGAAAACTACTTAATACGACATAATTCAAATAAAAACATATCTTCTAGAAATATAATTTATTTATGTTTATCATAAATATTATTGACAATATATAAAACATTTATTTTATATTTTAATAACATCTCGAATAAAATTTTATATGAAATAGGTACAAAATGTTTATATAATATTTAAAAAAATAAATAATAAAATTTATGAATATTTATCATAAATATTCAGTATGCACTGTCTGGTTATTATTACATGAAAAAATATCATATGCAACTAAGACTATGGTCTATTTGTGTTCATTTCTATCAATATGGATTAACTAATCTAGGTTTATTCTTTATCTTTTTCTAATTCTTAAAATTAGAAAAGTAAATTAAATCAAGATTAAAGTTAATCTATATAGAAACGGGCACTGATGCTAAAAATGTTTCGAAGCATTTTTTGATTGGTCAATTAGTGAAATTCTTTTTTCGATTAGTCAAGCAAATAAATCGCAGATTTGTAATATTTATATATTTCTTTTTCTAATATTGTTGCGAAGCCCGGAAAATGACGAAAGCGGGATTTGCTTTTACATCATCTAGAAAGGTGATGACAATTTTCATTGAATCTTATCCAAGTCCGATCCATTTATGTAAGTGTATGCTGCTTTAAGATTTTCTCTGTTAAATTAATGAATAATTCATCACACTAATTAATTAAAAACGTATTATCAAAGAATACGATTAACGTTTTTATTTTAGTTATTTATTTTTCCTATCGGTCGATCAAGTTTCAAGAAGAACACCTACATTTTTGCATACACATCTCCAGCTATGCTCTCTGGCTGGCGATTCAAATCGTTTATATCAATTTTACCGATATTTTTAAAACAAACAAAACAACAGGTCGATTCTATTTATTTTCATAAAGCATATAAAATGAAATGACGAAAGAAAGCACAATTCTCGGTCGTCGGTCCTCTTCCGGACCGATTGTATAAGATTTATTTTCTCGTTACTTTGGATCATCCCTTCCCTTTTTTCTTGAAAGAGAGAAGAAGAGAGAGAGAGAGAGAGAGAGAGAGAGGGAGAGGAAGCGAGAGGAGGGAAGAAGGGGGGAGGGGGAGAGGGAGAGAGAGAGAAGAACACGTCGCAATTTTGCCGACAACGGACGGGCAGATATCGATTTAGACAGCCAATTAGGTCTAAGAGGTCCTTCAGGGAGAATTTGTACACGACATACTACGAATCACTTCTCCATCTCGTCCACCACCGCTAACGTGTCATTCTTCTCGCCGCATAGCGAAACCCAGCCGTTCCTCTTTCTCCCGCCCTCCTCTCTCTCTCTCTCACTCCTCAGCCGAATCCCATCTTTCTATGGTCGTGGCTCTCTCATTTTCTGAATTATTTTTCCACGAGTCGTTTGCAGGGTCGAGACTCTGGAGACTCCGGGGGAGAAAAGAGCAAGGGGGAGAAAAAGAGAAAGAGAGATTCGTACGGTCGAGGGAGTCCGTATGCCATACACATCCCTCCGACTCGAATATATAAGCGACGACAATGCGACGATAGCGGTGAAGAAGGATACAAGGATGCTATGTGGAAGAAAACGGTGGTATAAAGAAACGAGAAATACCCTGACCCGTATTCCTCTACTTCTATCTTCGCCGCCACATTTAGCGCACTAAGCGTGGCCATCGAAGTGTGTGGGCTTTAGGACCGATCCCCGGGACGTCCGTTAACCCCAGATTGGGGATGTGTTTCCCAAGCCTCGAGATACGAAAGAATGAAGATGTTTTCAATTATGGTGAATGATAATGAATAAAATATTTATCTCTCTGTTACTTCTGTAAATTCATCACGGAAAATATTATATCTTTCACGGCTTTTAACAGATCAAATGAATTCCCTCCCAACAGTCCAACGATCTCTTCTGTTTCTTTCTAAACATTTAACTTAAAGAGAGCGAGAGAGAGAGAGAGAGAGAGAGAGAGAGAGACTATTGTTAAAATTTAAACTTTCGATGTCTCAAGGAAGCGTCGCTTATTTGTACGGCATGAGAATTGGGCAAGCACGCGTTTAGCGCAGAGTATGCGACCGGAATACGGGATCTTAGGAGACCACGAATTTCGCTCGCCACGCGGGCGGAATTCTACGATGGAATTCTACGATTCTAGTAGCCGATATCGCAGCCGGGTCGGCGGCGACACCGGGTGCCCTCCACCCCGTAATCTGGCAGTGCATTTAACCACTTTGCGAAATAGCCGTATATCTCCTCGCTGTGACGTAGCATTCGATATGTCGAGAGTGCGGGATTCGGTGGTGAGATCGGCAGAACGGAGTGGCGAGGAAGTGGAGAACGGGGGGAGAAAGTTCCCAAGGATAAAGAGACGCGAAGCACCGAGGCTCTCGTGACGGGGATGAGGGAATCCGGGGAGGGGGTGAGTATAGCGACGACTACGATATGCGCGCGCCCCCGTCATACCCGTTTAGGGATAGAAGGTGGTCCCCCGCCCCGCGACCAGGGTGGGGTTGCCTGACTGTTGGTAGGGGATAGAAATGCTCCCGATTCGACTCGGTGTGTAGGGCGCACGAGCCGACTATTGCCGCTGGGGGTTGGAAGTGGGGATTTGTTACAGGGAGAGTATCCATAGGCAGCATAGGGGAGAAAAGAGACAGGGTGGAAATAAGACAGACAGAGAAAGCGCGTGCGAGAGAGAGAGAGAGAGAGAGAGAGAGAGAGAGAGAGAGGGAGAGAGAGAGAGAGGATGTCGGGACATTGGAGAACGTACGCGCGCGATTGCAGAGTACGAGGGGTGGTGTAGACTCGAATCACAATGATCATGTGTGTGTGTATGTATACGGGGTGTCGTAAAAAAATTCAAACTATGATGCCTTCTCTAATGATTTTTTAGATTATTTAATCTTAGTGGAAATTTCACTAGAGACTTAATTATTTTTCTTTACGTTTACTAAACGTTGTAATATTGAGTCGTCAAAAAAAAAAAATTCTACTACTCTGATCTGCTAAAACTTCTAAAGTTCCTCTAAAGCTTTCAAACAGTTTGAACTTGATCTTTTCAAACAGAAAATTCATTTCGATATCTTGCTATTATCTCTCAAGTTCTTTCCAACCACCCTGTAGCGAGCGTGGAAGAAGGGTGCGCCCTACTTCGCGTCGGCGTTTTCCCTCCCGAGCAGCCCAGCATGTACAACGGAGTGAGGGGATGCCAAAGGGTGCGAGGGGACGTTAGCAGAGTACGGGCGTATGGACGTATGAAAGGACGGAGAGAGACGGAGAAAGGACGACGCGAGATGAAGATACGAGGAGAGGAAAGCCGTGCGAGAGGGTGTCTCTCTGTTTCGCAGCCGGGGGTTTCGCAGTCTCGCATTTCAACAACGACGACGCCGAACGTCGCTGGTGTCGCCGTCGCCGTTTTTTCCCTCGAGTAAGGGAACGCGCGCGCGCGTAAATGTGATAGATAGAAACGTAAAGAAAGAGAGAGAGAGAGAGAGAGAGAGAGAGAGAGAGAGAGAGAGAAAAGAGAGAGAAAGACGTCGACAGATATAGCGAGTAGGAGAAAGAGAATAAAAGAGAAAGAAAGAGAGAGACAGAGACAAGGGGTACACAATAGGGGAGACACTCGCGAACCCTCGTACGTTGGCCCCCGCACAACGAGGAGAACAACGTTACGCTCGGCTAGCACGACGGGGTACCTCGTGAGAATTCGGGTATCAGAGGTGCTTCCGTAGTAGTAGCGGCGGCGGCGGACGGTGATGTGAGTGGTAGCGGTGGTGGCCTGGTGGTAGCGGTGGTGGTGTCGTCGCTGGTGGTAGTGGTGCGGTTACAGTCGATACGGCGTGGTGGAGGCGTCGAGGTGCTTCTCGTCGGCGACGACGCGAGTGGTGCACGTTGGTGGACATAGATTTACGTAAGAACGACGACGACGACGACGACGACGACGACGACGACGACGACGACGACGACAACGAGGATGATGATGATGATGAGAGGTTGTCCGCCTTGCTCGTCTGTCTAATAGTGACATCGTATGTGCTGGTCGCGTGTGCGCACGTGTGACGCCGCCAATGGATACTCGACGAAGTGGCTGATCGAAAATCCGAAGGGACGTCCTCGGTGGTTTGGGCTCGTCGAACGGAGCGCGCGCTGCTCGCGCAGAGCGAAGGCGAAGGCGAAGGAACGTAACAAGTACGTGATAACACCGTAAGGATAACGAGTGTTGAGGAAGGATTTGCGAATGGACGAAACGGGTCCGTTCAATTCCCGTTTCGTTTCCCCTTATAGTTCGTTACGGTGCGCGGTGAGGATTCTGGAGCGGGCGTATAAATTTCGAGGTGTACGGAAGGATCTGCACAGTCAGTAAAAGGGGAATCGTAAGGAAGAGAACGCTGAGGAGGAAAGAAGGAATACAAGTACGAGTACATGGAAAGGAGGAGGATGGGCGTAAGATCGCTCCCCAGAGGCTTTCGTGTACGGAAGATGCTTCTCGGCCGTCATTGAAACGACGCGAATCCCGAGTGTCGTCGGGAAAGCAAGATACAGAGAGAAAGAGAAAAAGAAGAGTCGCGAATCGAGTCGTGGGACGACCAAAGTTCGCTGACGACGACGACAATAACGATCCATCATGGGGGTTTCGGTGTTTCTATTGTACGCGGTGACGGTACTCGGTGTGGCAGCCAGCGACAATTGTGCCGACA